ACAGAGGGTGTGTGTTTAGGGTGTGGGTATTTATTTTAAACAGTAAGCAAAATAACAAATCCACATGCAATCTTCTCCCCCAAGAGAAAAAGAGAAAGCCTAGTGCTTGACAACCTATTTAAAAGTGATAGATAAAATCACAGGTGCCTATATATAAACAGTCTATATCCTACATTGAAGCAATAGTTCCTAGTTATTACATCAACAGACCAATCTGTAACCTCTCCCATGGATGATCTTACACCCTGGTCTTACAGTCGAGCAATTAAACATTTTTTTCTCTTCAAGACAGTAGCAGCCAAGACATGGATGTGTAGTTCCAGCAACCACAAGTATATGGATCACACTATGGCTGCATTTGCTCTAAAGGGTTACCAGTTTTTTTCCCCCCAAATTCAGGCAGACTTAAAGACATTTAGGAGAGAAAAAACAAAGTGTCTGAGGGTGCCCAGCTGTGCTTTGGATGGGTCACTTTGTAGCTCCACCATCAGCTTTGCTCATAACCTGGCGCACTTCAGTTCCCGGCTTCTTCCCGTACATCCTCTAATACCACATTCCAAGGGGGTACAACAAGTTTAGAAAAAACACTGTATCTTACCTTTCTTAGTTTTCACAAATTCAGTTTTAAATATCTTTTTGCACATATTAAAGGAACTAACTCACATTTTGCATTTGCAGTGAGTGAGGCTATTTAGTAGCAGCAGTGGTGATGAACCAAACCCAAGAGACTACAATCAAGGTGGTGTTGTCACTGAGCCCTTCTAAGCTTTTGTAGAAATGTTTTGTGTTTAGTTGTGAGACAAACTGCAGCTCTGATCTGATCTGCACCAAGTTCTGTCATATTTTGCAGAAGCAAGATGGACAGAAGCACAGTTGGTGGATCAAAAAAGTTCTTGTTTCAAACACAGACATGAGAATCCACCAAAGCTAAATTTACAGGACACCTATTGTCAAAGTAATTTAAAGACTCAAGGTAGCAAGCTGTACCATGGAATAGCTGTTGCACCTATACATTATGAATTTGTCACCTTTCAAAAGGGAAATATGATGCATTTCACATAAAGTGAGTGTATGAATGGACCAGCTGCGCTGAGTCAGATGAGCCATCCTAAGACAACAAATGCACTTTTGCTTCCTGAAATACTATCCACAAACCCAACTTCCGGTTAAAGGCAAAAGGTAAAAAATGCTGTGAAATCTGCATTCAGACTTCAAAAACCTTGCAAGAAAATTAACTGTAGTTAGAGAGAAAAATACACTAGATAACAGTTTACCAAACAAGAATGTAAGTAACTTTCACAGCCTCCTAATAGTTGACTAGATTGAAAACAGAGGAAGTCAGTTTACTCTGAATATACAAGCATTTCATAAGCAGTCCTCATGCTGCCTTGCAGAGGACCCTTGATACACAGCCCTCTTTTGCCACATCAGGTACTGTTCCTAACATTTCAGACCTTTTATATTGAATATGAGCATGAGAAAGATTAGAGACCTGAGGGAGCAGTGTTTAAATGACTGCGATGAGAGGAAACAGTGCAAATATCCCCTTCCCATTCTGCCTTCTCTTTTCTTTTAAATTCTGTCACTATTGATTAGGCAGAGATCAGAAAAATGTAGTAGTTTAGGAAGAATTAAATGACAGTGAAAATGGTAGACTTGTCACAACTGTGTAGTGTCTATTAACAGAAGAAAATTGTTAGTTCTTTTTCACTTTTAACTAGGAAAAAAAAATCCCACTGTCTGTTCTTCTAAAGTAGGAAATTGCGAGTTGGACAATGCAGCTGGAGAAGGGAAAGGAAAAAGCTGAAAAGAGCCTCTTCCTGCAGCAGTGAGCTCTCAGATGGCTCAGTCAGTCCTGACCTGAAACTTCACTCCTAGGCAAGTTAAAATTGATGGTAAAACCATGGCCTTAAGAGAGCGATACATAGCTCTTACTTCAGAGTCTCATCCTCCCCACAAATGCCGTAGCTCAATTCAGACCCTGAGCAGCGGATTGCTTTGCACCACTCAGATTTCTGCTCACTACGACTACAGTCTCGTAACGTCTGATCCCAGACATGTTCACACTACAGATCAGATATCCAGCTTCCATGAAAGTCAGAACCCACACAACTGTTCAGGCAGCAGGAGGGAAAGGTAGAATAATAGAAACAGACATACACTATAAAGCCTTTGAACAGGACTCCTTTTGTTTAGGAAGTTGTGACCACTTATCAGGAGACCATTTTCTACCATGTGGCCATGACATTCTTCCTCCAGTACTAAGCAGCCCCAAACTATATTTAGCATCCTCTATAACCACAGTGTCAGCTGTAGGGAAGACTCCAAAACTATGCCCTTCATTGAGAAAGACTTCCAAAACTCCTAATTCAATGCACTTGCTTGACCTGTGTCCAGAACTCCTCTCCACCTTCACAACACTGTACTGCTCAGTGGCCTCACCAAGAGGCACTAATGCCACAGGAGGAGATGTGACTCATGAACCAGGACAGCCTGACACAGCCCTGCCTTCACCAGCTTGGTCTTCCATCCTGGTCTTGTACTGCCTCCTGCTGACGCTGCTTTTTGTACAGTAAGGTTGTAAGACAATCCAGCTGAAAAAAATGGGGAAAATAAGAATATTTTCATTGTATCTTAGCTAACTGGTTCCCTAACTGACTTGACTACACAGTGCAGAGGTGCCCCAGAGCAGGAATGAGTTACCAGAAAAGCCCAGGAAGTGAACCATCAGTGCTGCCAGTTATTTTAGTGAAATAATTCGCTTTAAAAATCAAGTCCTACACACCAGGTCAAACAGGGCAGATTTTGTCATCTTCCTAAGAAAGTGCCAACAATCTGCAGGACATTTAGCAATTTGTTAATGCAATTTTTATACTGCATGAATACATGCACATCTTATACACATAAACATTTCAATAAAATGATAGAATTTAATTCTTTCAGTGCTGGATTTTCTGCATGTAGTTCAAAAGTACCTGCATTATCTCCTCTGCCTTCTGTATGTAGGTCCAGGAAGTACAGTTACCATAGCACTTTGCAGGTAGGTGGCAGAAAGTTGCAACTAAGCAATTTCATAACATAATTATAAAATTTTAAAAAAACCCAACCACCACAACATTGACAATGCCATTTAAGTTACACAATTATAGACTTCTATCAGTTTGTTAATAGTTCAATCAATCAACTATTGATTGAACTATTTTCTCCCTCAATCCCAATCTAAAGAACATTTTTCATGTAAAGACCAATGAATTATGATATTACTAGAATGCTGTTTAGAAGCAGATCGGTTACTTCTTTGAAAATCCCTCTGTGGACTTTTAAAATATGTACTTCAGTCAAAACAAATTATGTTTAATTTAATTTCTACTGGAAGGAAACGGGGCTTTTTCCATCAACTCAAACAGAAACATATTTCAGATTCAGCAGTATGAATCAAATACTCAAAGGCAAATAAATAATTTGGTATTTCTATTCAAAAATTAGAGTTGGTCAAAACAAATTCCAAATACAAAATTACAGTATCCACATGCAGTATATACTCAAATCCCAGACAGAAGAATATCACTTCTGTATCCATGCATGACTCAACCTCTGGTTACATCCATGCTGCATGTTTAATCTAAAGTTCCCCTTATCTATCTACAAGCAAGCTTTTAAAGCCTGTATTGCAGATCCCAAAAGAGCTCTCAAAAATGTTTCCTGGCCCATAGAGAGCTCTGCCTCACCTGAGTGAGGTATGACATTGTACAATACACTGGTACTAGACTAGACTAAGAGCTATAGCCCAGTAAAGACCGTGTTTATTCCTTCCTTATCCTCCATTTCACCTCAAAAATCAAACAGGATGTCTTAAAATATCTGTCATTTAAGTGAACATGTTTGACTTCATCCTGGACACCATGAAGGAAATACCTCACACAGCTACTATTGTTACAGGAAGGAAGCAACTTCTAAATGAAACATCAGTGCAGCATCTGCCATCTTTCACTTAAGATTCAAATTCTTAATCTGGTCACAAAAGCAGCTGACTAATAAATCTATACAACAAAGCTCAGGGTTATGTCATAAAAGCACAAATGAGCAAGACTATTCAGTTATAAAGGTAACTTTCTCTTATAGAAGCAGCAGCACGGGCAGCAGTGAAACATCTCTGGAGAGAGGACAGCGTAAGGCCAGTAGAGCAGTGGCAGGCTTGAGGAAGATGAGGCTTAATGGCTGTGCACTTTCAAGGAGCTAAAGAATAAACCTAAAGAATAAACTGGCTCTGAAGCTGTACATCTCAACAGGGGTACTTTGCCACTTTAATCATCTCCACTCAGGAAAAAGCAGCCTGCTTTCCCACTGGGAGCTCCTTGAAAGTCATCTGATTTACAAACAACATGTCAAAAATAGCACTGTGCTTACTCTATTAAACAAAACAATTGTTTTTTCACACTTAAGCCCGAGAAGCTCCCCATCTCAATTCCCCAAAGCATATATTAAACAAAATAAAGCCTATGCTGTAACAATAGTAAATAAATACAATCTGACTGTTCATTCAATTCCTAGTTAAAAGTCATTCATAAAGTTTCCTCCACATGAATCAATTTTAAAGTAGTCCTAATCTACGTGCTAACATTTAGATAAATTTGATACCAAAACCCAGATCCATTTATCTAGTAAGAACAAAAAAATTGATAGCAGAAGCTGTTTTTATCAACTAGCAGGGCTTTTATCAATTTAACAGAAATATTTTTAAAGTACAGGTTTATTAATAGCATATAATTTGGCAATATGTGATCTATATCTTACCACGCCATTAACTGTCAATTTATATGAAAATAGAAGACACGTTGGTTTTTCCTTTAACATCGTCGTAATTGTTTATGTACCTTTCCCCTAATAATACTAATAAATGCACAGTATTTTTCAGAAAAACTTGGTTTTCTATCACACTGAGCTCTTCTTACCAGATTTTAACATACTACAACCTAGTGTAATTAAAAGAATAGATCTTCTTTCCTATGCCCAAGTTATAACAATGGACACAAATCACAATTTGTGTGTAATTACACAACATGGATCTTATCTTGCATGAAGCTGGACAAAGGTTATGTCCTGTATCTATGCATGGTACTTGGAAGGCAACATACTGACAGCGCTGGTACTGTAATTATTTCCATCCTTGAAATGAGAGACATTTTAAAAACACAAGCTTTCAGGGCAACTAACTCTTGCATCTGTCATCTCACGTTATTGCCAAGTAATATGCACCCAAATGTAGCTAATCACATAAATGGCATCTGTTACACAATCATGCAATATTTTATCCTATGCACACATTGTAAAGCAGGATAGGTAAGTACCATTTTAAAAGGCGTAAGAGGCTACTGAAAATACATATGGAAACAAAATTCTCATTTACTTTACTAAAACTTGGAAAAGATCTTAAATAATACTATTTTATTTCCATTCTGTGCATTTGCTTTCTCTCATTTTATTAATAAAAGAAGTGGTTGTACTTTTACTTATTTAGTTCCTACAATATTTCTGCTGCAGACAGCAATGAAATAATTTGTTCTCTTTGTGAACTTATGTCAGACTGACACTTTCTCATTTTACTTGCAGAATTTTCATGAGACCCTGGTCTTGTTTCAGCATAAAAATATTTGGGTTACATATAAAAATGTACTTTTGTTAATTATCAGACATTAAAAGTAACACAAGTCAGTGCAACAAATTTTACAGAAAGATTTAAAGCATACAGTGTGTTTACAGAATCCTCTGGTTATATTTACTAAAAGACAACTTACACTGACAAAGACCACAGTACAAAAACATTTGGTTTCATTACTTTTAGAGTTTCCTTTACTGTTTTTGGTGTTCACAGTATAAAAGATGAAGACCCTCACCCCCCAAGAAAACAGATAACCACAGGCAATTAGTCTATTCAAAGGCACTCAGTTTACTTTTTAAGTCTGGCAGCTATTCCTGTCATCATTTGCTGGCCAAATAATCTCTTCAAAAATTCATTCAGCACAATAAATTACACTCGGTGACGAAGCACAGAATCTCATGAACTTATGTGGAAAATTTATTTTGTTAAATAAAATATTCATGATTTTTACAAAACTGATTTTACCAAACAAGGCCTTTGGCCAATTTTGATTTTTTTTTCCCTTTAAGACGTTGAGCCTTAAGCTTCTTTTTTTGCCTGGAATTCATCCATATTGGGTACTGTCCATGCTGGTCTAGAAGAGTTTTTTTGTTTCGTTTATTATCCAGCTCCATTTTGCAGTCATCTGAAAATTAAAGGTATTTTTAGTAAGTAAAGTATCTGAATCAGCTTCATAGAAGCTATTTTGCTACTAGATTCCCCCAAATGCTAAAAATATCCCTAGACACAACACTATTTGTACATAGAGACCTGAAGGGTTTATAAAACTGAAAGCACTTTCCAAACCAATGCAACTGCAACCAAGGGGCTTCAACAGTTGATAGTCAACGTGCAATATTTTTCCTAAAGGCCATGTCTAGGCAAAGCATCTTATTCTTTCACCTGTAATCTATTCCAATCCTGTGTCTAAGAACATTGTATATTCCATCACGAAAACATGCATGAAGCCATAGGCTTACTGAAACATATGCACAATTACACACTTTTTAGGATGTAATGTTTAAGATCTGCTCTAAAAAATTATTCTGAGTGGAAGATGAAGACAAGTAAAAAGAATAGTAAGGAGAAAAGGTGAAATACAATGACAATAGGAGTATCAGCCAGTGATGCCACACCTGCCTCAAGGAGTGAGCATGACATCAGGTCTAACACATTTACAGGCAGAAAGAGAGGATTAATGTCTAGGATGAGGAAGACTGCCCATGACATGGTCAGTCCCAAGAACGGCATCCCCAGCTGTCTAACACCCCACGAACATCATGTCTTGGTGACATAACAAAGTGCAAGAGGAACACTTTGCTAAGTACTGAATAGAAGTCTGCTCTGTCATTTCATCCCAACCTTGCTCCCAAACCATATGCGTGAAACTCAAGCCTTTACCGCAAGTTTTATGGAGAGGAGAAAAAGACTTGTATGTTTGTGCTTGTTTGATGTTGGGAGACAAAGCTCATGAGGAAATAGCCAACATGCTGCTTCAATAGTTGAGGATGATAATCTACAGCAATCTGCACCAGAGATGTGCTTATGGAGCCCTAAATTGGGGGGAGTTTGCAAATACTTGCAATCAGCAGAGAATCAGCACGGGGGCCTGGTGGCAGAACCAAAAGCCTATCCAATATGGCAGACCTTACACTACTTTTTTCTTAAGAAGTTGGAAAAAAAATCGCTGTGTGCTGTAAACAATACCGTAAGGTAACACAGTAAGATGTCTGTAATAGATACCTATGTACTTTCTTTGGCTGTAGGAAGTACATATTATGGGTGAAGTTTTTATCTATTTCAGTTCTTGTAACACTTGGAGATATGAACTCCTTTGTGTTCACAGTTAATCCTGAAACGTCCTCTAAAAGAAGACACCATTATTTTCACAAAAATTGTAACTGTTTTGTATTTTCTTAGGTATTTCTGAGGCTGCTATATTTTTTTTTTTTTTTTGCAAAGCCAAATGAAACTGGCCACCTGCAGAAAAGCTGCCAGCAGAGTTGGAAGGAGGTGCAGGAATGACAGCCATGCGTTTACTTCAGAAACTAAGTTCAAGACAATGATTTCTCCTTCAACTTCAGCATTAGGAGTCTGACAATGTATTCAATTCTACCTATCCCTTAAAGAATAACTTCAACAGATTTGTGGGACAAATATGAACCATGGATAAAATTACAGACTGTACTTGAAGCTAACCTTAACCAGACAAATATTTTTATATACCATTCTATTTCCATTTCCAGTATCAGAACATCTTAAGTGGCACAAATTGGAAAATCAAAATAAAACTATGATTTAGTTTGGATGTCAGTTTTGGAAAGAGGAGGTATCTTTCTGACTCCCATCTAGTATGCAGCTATTTAAAACTTTTTTTTCGTCTTCCTGGGTTACTTTCTTCACATTCGGCTCCAAACACAAAAAGGAAGATGGCATTATCTGTAGATACCTAACACCACCCACTCCTGCACCATGGGCAATGCAACAGTAATTAGCATTCAGAAACTGGGCCCATACTACTCCTACCCCAACTTCTGTATGTTTAGTAGCCTGCTCAAATTAAGACAGTTTGGCAGCAAACATAATGCTGTGATTGGAACAACTGCTAAGTGGTGAAACCGCATTCACCTGATGTCGTCAGAGATGTCTCTCCACACAATACATTACATACTTTACACACTAAAACCAAACGTTAATAACCTTGTTCCGCAAGTGACCGGATGCAATATGAACGGCAGTGCTGCGAAACGACCAGATTCAATCAATTTAAAGCGTTCTGGCTTTAAAACACAGGCTTTCCTACGTACTGTTCTGCGCCTGCGACAGGCATAGGGCCGATGCTGGCGGTGAAAGGCCCAGGATCAGGAACAGCACCGCAGCACACCGCGCCGCCGGGCGGCCGCAGGCAAAGCCAGCCAGGGCCCCACTCACCTCTCTGCTCCAGCACCTTCTCGGGGGGCAGCACGGTGGCCACCTCCTTGACCTCCTCCATGATGACATCCGCTTTGGTTCCCAGGATCTTCTTCAGCCTCTCCAGCTCCTTGGGCGCGTTCTTCTTCCTCTTCTCCGCCCGCATCTTCCTCCTCCATTTGCTCCTCAGGCTCTTCGCCATGTCCTGCGGGGAGGGAAGCGGGAGCGGTTGGGGGGGCCGCGCGCACGCGGGGGGGGGGCCGCGCGCACGCGGGGGGGGCCGCGCGCACGCGGGGGGGGCCGCCCCGCTCACCTGCCGCGCGCGAGGACGCCGCACACACTCGCGCAAGGCCGCGCTGCCCGCCCGCGCATGCGCAAAGAGAGGCGCCCGGCCTCCCGCGGGGGTAGACGGGCTCTACCGTAACTCTCCGAGCGAGCGCGCAGCCGCGTTCCTGCTTCGCGCCCCTGCGGGGCGGCGCCCAGACGCTGCTGCGCGGCCGGGCCGGAGGCATGAAAGAATACACGCGTGTTCCATGACAACGTAAAAAGCGAGGATTTACTCTTAGCTCCTGACCCGCTGTCCTGAGTGCAATCCTAAGGCAAAGGGAGAGATTATCACACTCTCTCATACCCACTCGCAGTGGCACCCGGCCAGCCTCACGGAAAGCGCACCCAGCCCCAGCGTGGGGCAGGCAGGACGCGCCCCTTTCCCGGGTACCGCATCCTCGTCCCTCGGTAACAATCCCTTGCTGGATAGGAAGGAAGCCTTTCAAAATCGGTTTTACGCTCCCTGCTGCTCCAGCATCGCCACAGCGTGGGAAGCAGCCACAGCCACAGCCACAGCACTTCTGCTCTGTCACACCGACCTGTCTGCAGCGCTCACTCCCACGGTCCTGAAACTCGTCTCAGTTCCAGGAACAGACTAAATGCTTTCCAATTTTTATTGATACACAGTGAGTTTTATTATACGTAAGTTGATCAAATGCCATAATCAATCTCCAAATGATTTTTAAGAACAATGAAAGATAGGCAATAATACTAAAATGAAGAATATTCCCTTTAATTAACACCTTCACAGCTTCTATAGCAACAGCCCTTAACTAGGACAGAGTATCTCTCAGAGACAGCATTTCATTTTACCAAACCAAAACTAATAAAAAAAACTTAAAAAAAAAAAAAACTTAAAAAAAAAAATCTTAGTAAAACATTGAAAACATTGCACAATGGTAAACTCCTGCTACCCTTATGTGATTATGTGATACACAAACGAATGATGAATCCCAAAGGAAACATTTTCAGCAGGGAAGCTTATTCTGAGTCAAACAGGAGTTGACAAAATTTTAATCATTAATTACATTGTAAATTAAGTGATTAAAAAAGTGACTGTAATGATGACAGCATGTTAGCTACATAATACACATGGTCTGGAGAAGAACTATAGCTATGTAAAAAGCTATTTTTCCCCTAAGGAAGGACCAATATTCATGGAATGCAAACATAATAAAGATTCAGTCTTTAGAAGGCAGAACTACTGAGTTTGCAGATTATCCATAAACTTAACATTAATTGTGCTGTAGTGAAATCGCTTTTGACTATTTTTTATTAAATGCCTCCAGAAAACGCAGCAAGTGTAAGAACAGATTTATGATGTCCAAGTAGAGATTGATTGCAGCCAGTATGTACTCTTCAGGAGACAGCTTGTGCATCAGCAAATGAGTGTCATAAATAATAAATCCACAGAACAAAAGAGCTCCAGCAGCAGCAAACACCAACTCTATCGTCTCACTATAGAAAAACAGCTGGAGACAGATAAAATATGAAAAAGATACTTGTGAATTTCATTTTAAAAATATTAAAATCCCTGCATAATGATACGCCACATTTAAAACACAGTCTTTCTAGTGTTATGTACACAAAACCACAGTATTATAGTGATATTTCAATGTTCTTATTCCATACACTCTCCAGTCACACAATCTCTGAGTAACAGTGCCTCCACTTAAGAGGAGGAAGCTCTGGTCTCCAGAATACTAACAGCAGAACAACTAGAAAACCAAAATACAATTAATCTCAAATCTTCACATTCTCTTCATCTCAATTGACAAATTTTGTCAATCAACCCAAATACCCCTTTTATGTTGGCAAGAACAGCAGCCAACAAAAATCTAAATTGAAAATGTGTGGTTAAAAGATCGCCAGATGATCTAGAACAGCATGATCTAGAACAGTAATGGATCTGATTAGGAATTTTCTTTCATTAAGCTATATTGGCTGATCCAAACCTTTTAGTTATACTAAAAGTTAGTAAAAGGTCTGAGCAACCTGATCTTAGTGAAAGGTGTCCCTGCTCATGGCAGGGAGGCTAGAACTAGATGACCTTTGAGGTCCATCCCAGCCCACACTATTCTGTGATTCTGTAAATATCTTTTAACTGTGAACATGAAGTATCTTACCCTCAAGAAACTTGAGAAGATTAAAATCCACAAACAAGCAAAGAGGCTGAAAGAAAATAAAATACACTGTGATCAACACTACACTTTCTTTTAGACTTGACTTAAAATATCCTTTTTTCTAAAACCTCTTCACAATATATTTGGCAAGTAAATATCTGGAATTCTTATATGCCAACTGGTCTCAGATGTTCACTCTGATGTTCACTGGTCTCAGCAGTAAAAATTTTATAAAGCTGTCAAAAGTTATGTTCTAACTTTAATTTTTTAAAAGATTTGACACATCTGCCTTCTCTCTCAGTAAAAAATCCAGGTAAACTAGTTTTCTAATTGCTTTAAGATTCTTTACCACTGAAAATAATTTACCAGGGATCAGAACTGGGTAAAATGAATAATTTAAAATAAATAACCCCCACCATTTCCTTGAAGCAGATCCTATTGACCTGTACTCCTTATAATACCTGCAAAGCTTGCTTTAAGAAAGAAAAAAACTCAAAGCCTTAACAGCAACAAAAATTAAAAAAAAAAAAATCAACATACCCTGCTCCAAATTTGCTGAAGTCTCTCTTTGACTGCAAGGTATATGCAGTCAATCCAAGAAATACAGAAGCAGTAAGAATAAAGGCTTGCAAAACGATGGAGACATCATAGAAACTCACTACAAACAGAAAAAGTAATCTGTCAATTAAAGAACTCTATACTATGTATTTTCTGAGTTATCTTTTGAAGAAACAGAAATTTAAACTTTGAATAAAATTAAGTAAATTATGCCTGAACTTGTCTTTGTATTTCAAATTCATGATCATAGGATTCAGGGTTCTTGTACTAGATAAGTTTGTCAGTTACTTTATAGCTGTAGCTTCTTAAATGGAAACAACAGGTCTTGCCTAGTTAAGAATTATGTAAATACCAACAAAACAAAAGATTTTAAGCACAGATAACAGAGATATTAAGGAAAAAAATTATATAAATTTTTCATGATACTGAAACAAGGGGAAAATTAAAAGAGTCCCCTATAAAGGCTCAAAGTTTTGATTAGGGGAGAGGAGGGGAAAGATAACAGAAACACGTGCAGCCTTTTTCTTCCCTCCTTCCTCCTTTATCTTTCCTTTCCCAAATCAGGATATCATAAGCCAGGATGAAGAGATTTCATCTTATGCTTATTGTTCAAGGTGATTCCATGATGTGACTGCACACTACCTCATTTCAACCCTGATGATGAAGCACAGAATTTTCCAAACTCAGATTCCCTTTGAGGAAATTGAGGGGGCAGGTAGGACTATTTCAACTTGAAGATCAGCTCTGCTGAGAGCCGAACATTATGAACGAGAGCATTTTAAGCTATACTGAAAGAATGGATTCCCCAACTCATTCCTTACTTCAAGTTTATATGGTTTCATTTCTGAATCAGAATTGAGTGTTCTCCCTTGATTTCCTGGTTTTGCTAAACTCCTATCACCGTCATTGAAATTTTCAAACAGGATCCATTATCATTTTAGTCACATCTAGAAAACCCTAATGGCAATATAGCACAATATAATGGATTAATTTTCCAAATACTTTATGGAATCAGACAATAGGATGGCTACTATTTACCTGTAATGGCAACTGTCAGTGCTTCCAGTAGTGTCTACAAAAAGCAAACCCAAAAATATGGAAGAATAAAAAAAAAAAAAAACAAACCATTAAACATTAGGTCTCTTGTTAAATCTTTATGTAAGAAAACATGTTTCATTTTCAACAAGAGAATGGAAATCACACTTTCTTACTGGACTGGAAGTTGTGTTACATAAAAAGAGTACAATACAAAGTAAAATGAGTAAGAAACTATCCCTATAGAAAAACGTCACATTTTCTACTGTAAGTGCACAGCATTTATATGACACTTCTAACAAACTATTCAAGGGGCTATAGAAGGAATACATTTGTAATATCTTGTTGGACAGCTGTCTAATATAGTGTCTGCATCAGTTTCCTTTCCATCTTATCCTTTAAACAATCTGTTCACTTGCATAGCAAAGCTGTCTTTCTGTTTTATCACACATACAATTTAGGCAACTCTTAGAACATCAAATTTTAATTGAGCTATTGTGTCTTCTTTTCAGAAGACTGATTTGCTACATAACTCAAAATATCCAAGAGCAACTGTTAGCCTGGATCTACATATTCACATCAGGCAGAAGACTCAAATTTGAGGACAGCTCTGATTGATCTACCTATTCTGGAAACATGTTGGGAATTTAGCATCAAAAAGACAGCAACTGGAGGAATAAATAATATGGCTGGTTTGGGTCTCTGCTGGAGGCTGTCCATTAAACAATTTAGGTAACAGGATTATCTCTTCCTTTCCTACTGAGCAGTAGGAAAAAAATCCCTGACATCAACAGAACAATGAGAGCAGATAGATTTCTATATGCACACAAAAATCCTTGCTCAAACTGGTTCCAAGTTCTAACATTCTTTCTAAAAAGATGCTGAAAGAAACCTGAAGTTCCTGCTATCTGGGAATAACCTGTGGACAGAATCTCCAAACAGTTAAGTCAGACCTTCAAAAATATATAGGATGCCTTTCAAAGAATACAAGAAATACAAATTACATACCTCTAGTTTCAAGGAATTAATTGCAATGCAAGATATTCTAGGGACTATTACACTGAATTAATTAATTAATTAATAATTTAACTTAACTAAACACTTACAAATCCAAACAGCAGGTATAAATTAACAGGGTGCTGGTGTCTGTAGAGGGTCAGTGCCACGATCACAGCCAGAGATCCAAACCCAGATATTAAAAGCAAGGCAGGCCTGTAAAATTCCATATTAAAAAAAAAAAAATTAAAAAAAATTGAATACCTGTAAGACTATAAAACAATTTATATAAAACCAAACTTTTAAGTTATCATCTAGGAAAGATATCCAAAGTAAATGTATTGCAGGTTTACAATGAAACTGTTCTAAAACATACTACTACAGTCACTAGTACAGTCACAAGTAAAGGTAACTTTTTCATACTAAGGCTGAAGATTGCCCAGAAATCCATTACCTGGGAATGAATACATACAAAAAAGAAAATCCATCCATACAAACTAAGAGTATTAAAGTGTATGTACTGTTTTGCCTGTTCTGAACTCCATATTCAGAGAACTATTTTTCATAAGCGCCTGAATGCAACAAACATGGGCACTAACCGCACCAAAGAAAATCAGTACTGAACAGTAAGTATTGCTAAATCATTCAAGTAGCTCTCCAAGGAAAAACAAGACCAACAGGAAATACAAAATCACAACAGTTCTAAGTGACCAGGGCAATTTTAAATTATCAGATTTAAGCAGAAAACTACAGTTTTACAACTACTGTTGTATATACTACAGGCTATACAGAAACTGAAACTTTCATGCAGTGTTTAATCCTCCTTTTTCATTTGGGCTTTAAAGTGAAAGTAAAAGTCCAAAGGTGCACTTGGAGGAAAACAGAAACTAGACTCAGTGCTCTCCTCCTCCTTTCCCAGCTGTTCTTTTCCCTGGCCTGTTCACCACTGTTTGCATTTTGAGATTTATCATGAAAACCTGAGAGGTAAAAAGAAATATGCCCACATGAATTTAAGCAGACTAATTCTTTTGTGGGAGTGGGGAGGGAGTAAGGAGAAAAAGAAGATGGGAGAGGGAGAAAGAGGAATAAGACGTGATTCTGCTTTTTGGAACAGGCACCTATAAACAACAGCATTCTAAAGAGATTCTAAAGGTTGTTAGACGGTAAAACAAGAAATGTCAGTGACTGAGATGTTCTGCAACTTATGTAAAAGTTTGCATAGCATAAATATTGAAATAAGCACTAATAATTAAGCATTGCTTGAAATAAACAACAACACAACAAAAAAAATTGCTTTCATAGTAAACCAAGAAGAAAAATGTCACAGAAAAACACTTACTCCCTAATCAAGTTAAAAACATATATTACAACAATGAAACACAGGTTATAAAAAGGATTAGGAAGACTGAAGTGTAGCAACAAGTTACGTAATTTATACCTAACACATGCTAAACAGCTGCATTTCACCTTAGAATTTACCTCTCATGAACAAATGCCTGCACTCCAGTAGAGTATAGGAAAATTGCAGATGTGACTGTGGTCAATAGAACTTGAACAGAAAGAATGCTGTAGACCTTTCGCAGAAACGCTGGAATAAGAAAAATAAAAATGAAACCACTTTTGACTTGCACTTCAAAGTTCAACAGTAAATCGGATACAAGTTTTAATTTTCATAAGGAACCATTATAACATCATAGTGAAAAAGCACAGAACAAAGTCATAAAAAGCCATTTTACTTAACCTGGCACAGTATTACGGCAAAATTAGATTGATTCCTGGACATCATTATTTAACTATTAACAATGATGACAAAAGAAATATAAAAAACATTTGCAAGGCATTTAATTGCCATTCTCACTATACTAACAGCATACCTTCTCCATCCTGTTACTGGTGCCTAATGGACCTGACAGAGAATTAACATGGAAGGCATACCAAATGCTTCAGTGGAAGAAACAAAAGTTTTAACACCTCACAGAAGAAATTCAAATCCTTCGGTCTCATGGTTAAACTTCTGTAATTACGGTCACTAATTCTAGTATTTATAAATCACAGAATGAGTACATTGGAACAGACCCGTGAGAGCACTGTGCCCAACCTATGGCTTAGAGCGCCGTGTCAGACAGACCATGGCACCAGCTGCCACGTCCCGGCTTTCCTTCAACACCCCCGGGAGCTGCGTCTCTGCAGGGACTACGCATCTCACGTGTCACGTCTGGACTCCGCCACTGAACGAAATCAAGTCTGAATGTACGCAGGGTGCCGGTTCACGGGCTAACTCCACTCAGGACAGAACCTGTCCCCTTCACGGTTAAACGACAAAGCCTTCGCCGGCCGCGGCCCCTCACCCTGGGTATCTAACCCGGACTAAACAGCGCCCTGGCTCCGCACTCCCAACCTTCAGCCAGGCTAAAACACTGCGCGGAGCCGGGCTGCCGCCAAGGCCGGAGCTGACCGGGATGTCACAGAGGCACCTGTCGGCAGCGGCCTCGCCAGCGGGGGCGGCGGGGGCCTCTCCGCAAGCGCCTGGGGGGCCGAGGCGAGGCCGTGCGGCTCTCCCACTGCTCCGCAGTCCTTACCCATGCGGATGTGGACGCTGGCCGAGGCCACGTTGCTGCCATAGTTGAAGTCATCCTCGATGGAGCTCCGCGGGTAGCGCTGCTCCGCCGCCATGGCCGCCGCCCGCCGCCGCTTCCGGGGGGCGCGGCCGCGGCCCGGGCGCGCAGCCGGCAGCGCGGCCCTTGGGCTCCGCCTCCCCGCGCTCCGCCCCGCTGCGGACCCGCGGAGGGCGCTCCGAGCAGGATGCTACCTCGGTTCTCCCGTGCGTGTCGCGTCCTTCCATCTCAGCGTAACTGAACAGAAAGCAAAGATGCCCGGCGTTTCTCAGGCGCCACAAAGCACTTGGTGCAGCCGGACTTGATGGTAGCTCACACTGAGCAATCACAAAAGCTACGATTTGGGGATGTGGATGCGGGGAGCGAAGCAGGTTATTTTTTTAACTGGTGAATATTATCTAAAGTGTGCCGAGAAACTGAAGCGACAGACAGTTTAGAAATATATGTCATAGATTTGACTAGAAGTGCTTTTGAAAATTGGAAAATAATGGCCTGAACTGTATTCAGCTTCTCAAGGGAGGAGCAAATCAAGTCTATGATTTCGTGATGAAATAATCTTGAGCAGCTTTTCTACTGAGGCGATTTAAGATAGTACATTTCACTTGCAGAGACAAGAATTATGAGCATGACTTTATATGCTGGGAAGCATTTATTATTTTTTTACCATAATTTTACATTTTTTAGTTGCTGCAGAGTAGGATAATTCAGTTTAAATCCTGAATTTGGAGCTTGATGCGTTGTTCACACTGCTGAATGGTAACTGTTTTGACACAGTTGTGCTGTGTGCTTTCTTGCATCTGCTTCTGCAGAAGAACAACACTGATGTTCTCCCAGAAGAAGCATTCAGAGTTCTGGTAAAGCATCTAGTGTTGCGTTCTCCAAATATATGCAGTGAAAAGAAAATGCAGTGCTATTTTCTTTAAAATACCTGTTAGAGGTGCTTTGTGTGAGAAATGGAAAATTTCAGAGCATTGCCACAGAGTTGACTCCTGCAAATAGTTTGAAGCTTGAGATGATTGAAAGACAGATATAATAGTAGCCTTCAGATATTCTTTATAAGGCTGTTGGAGTCCTCCAGCTGTGGAGAAAGTGTCACATAAGAGGTAGCATGGCTTAAACTGCACTAGGGAATATTCAGGGTGTAAACTTGAGCACTTTTAATTTTAAGAGTAATCAGGGTAAAGCTGTGGAATAGTTAGCCTGTGGCTTAGGCACAGGCTGGTAGATAGGAGATGGCAGGAAGCAGGCATGCAGGCCTTTGCACTCACCCACACACCTCTTGTGTGGAAGATGTTGGTCTGATGGAAGCCACCAAGAATCAGCAATCAGCTTATTTGGCAAGGCAAGAGACAAAGCAGCAAAATTGCCCAGTGACGCCATTGAGAAGCACAATCTGCCAAAGTTGCTGCATATGGGAATGGAAAATTATTTACATCTGCAACACTGATAAAGGCTGCAATTTTCATGTCAAAAGACAGCATCATTCTTGCCTTAAGGTCTTTCATGTTACTTGCAGGCACATACAGAATGTAGTTCTTTGGAGTGACTGTACTAAATGAACAGCTAATGACACTGAGTCTGCTTGAGTGCTTTCAATGTCTTAGCAATTTTCCATTCCTCACTAGGGAAAGTATACCTTGTAAAATGCTGAATACGCCGTATAAAAAGGAAAGTGTGTTTTACATTGCCTTTCTTTTCTGTATTTGATGTTTTCATAAACATACCTCCATCACACTATTTTTATTTGAAACCACGGCAGTCCCACAGTGACTCGCTCAGGGCTGGCTAGACGCTCGCACTCCGTGTGCGTGCGTGCAGGGGTGAAAGAGCTTTCTGTTCTCCCAGGTTCTGCTCTGGGCTCTGCTATGGGGAGAGGAAGCTCGCTGTCACTGGCGGCCCGGGCAAGGACCATGAACTCCTCTGTGCCTTTTGTCTGCGTTACGCATAATCGGTGGCTTTGCTGGAAAACGTCCATCTGTTGCTCAGAGGTACTTGGGAAAGGTACTTGGAGCGTTGCCAGGATTCTGCTGCTTTCCAGCAGTTTGTTTTTAAATCATTGTGCCAGAGGCCCTTCGTTTGCTTTGAGCAGTGTTCCCAGAGTGACCCCTCTCAGCATGGCTTTGATATACATCTGTGTATCTTCACATCATCACGGCTGTTGTTGAGGCAGGACTAAATGGTCTCCTCTTCCCAGACTGCCAAGTCCGTGACCTCTGCGTGGCTCCGTGCAAATGCGTAAGGCACAACCGCTGTAGTATTGCTGGAGTGCGGTTCCAGGAGTACAGGGTCACACATGGGGCCCTGTGGCTGCCTGCCAGCCTTTCCACAACGAGGTAACATCCAGGCAATATGTGCTCAGGACAGCACAGCACACATGGATACAAAGCAATGTGGGAAAACAGAGGAGAGAAGTTAGATTATGTAGGTGCATCCACATGGCCATTAACCATTAATTTATTCCCAGGTGAGCTTTGGTCTCTCAGTTTCAAAATAACTGGCTAAGTTAAAGGAATCATTTAATTGTCTGATCCCAAGGAACTCTAATTTAAAGAAATGTGAGTTGTAGCACCTTTCCAGTATCTAAGGGGGGCCTACAAGAGAGCCAGAGATAGACTTTTTTTTACAAGGCCATGTAGTGATAGGGGTGACGGCTTTGAAATGAAAGAGAGTAGTTTTAAATTAGATATTAAAAAGAAATTCTTTACTGTGAGGGTGGTGAGGTACTGGAACAGCTTGCCCAGAGAAGCTGTAGATGCCTCACCCCTGGAAATGTTCAAGGCCAGGTTGGATAGGGCTCTGGGCAACCTGGTCTAGTAGGTAGCATTGCTGCCTATGGCAGGGGGATTGGAACTAGATGATCTTTAAGGTCCCTTCCAACCCAAACCATTTCATGATTACATGAGTTACTGTGAAATTATCCTCAGACTCAAAATTGCAAGGTTTTCCATGGGAAGTGGAGACAATCACATAATTATAAAGTTATTCCAAATTACATTTCAATGTGTACAATATGTAGGTGCAAAACCATCATGATGTTCTTACAGAGCAGGAAAATAACAAGGAAACTCAGAGACATATGTGCCATCTGTTGCTGTAAAATCCCTGATGGTGAATTTTCAAATCCACTGATCAAGGGAAGAGAGTTTATCTTCTTTAGTACTTACGGTTTCATGAGAAAGACTGGTAGCAAGCAGGTCACAAAGCCAAGCCATTCCAGGATGAAAAGCGTCTCTCAATGTTTCTTTGGTTTCCTACAGCCCGCATCTTTGCCTAATGACATATTCTTTTTCCTGTTAAATCCCATCTGCATTATTTTTTTTTCATTGCACCTCACTCTACTGTAACTCAATTAGGTCCTTTTAAACATTTTTTTTCTTTAAACCATGTACATTTCTGGTAAGACAGGTTAGTTTGGGATCTTATTGTCAATGGAGGTCTAGAAGCAATAAGAAATAGGTTGTGCCTAGGAAAGGAGCTATCTGGTGGCAATAGGCAGGAGCCCATCGGTGTGAGAGGTACAAGCTTACCTGCCAGGGAGCACAATGTGGAAGCCTGGACCTTTAGTTTAAGGATTGTGAACAGCTCTTGAACAGACACGTTGGTTTGATTCATGTGATTGGGTGAGACATTTTGAATAGGCCCAGGGTGAATACAATTCTTTTTGAGAACAGGACTTCAGGATAAATATACCTCTGCAGTTAATAGGGCAGTACTGGTAGTTAATAATCCTAGCATTAAAAGTCTTCTTTCAAGGTTTTTGCCCATTTATACAAGTATCATGTCTTTCAAGGATGCTATCTTATTTTGACAAGCTGACAGATTTTATATTTTAAGGCCAGGATCAAACTGGAATCTATCTTTGCTTATGATCACACCTTTGTTATTTCAGTAGCTGCTGAAGTTTAAAAAAAAGAGCATTACCATTTTATTCTATGTGTAAGACTGAATCCTAGAAAAATATGAAATGCTACACTGACAGCCCAGATATAGGCAATTTTTCCTTTTTTTATGTAAAAACAGATTTTTTTTCTTTTTCATGGAAGTAATGTTACAAACAAAACCAATTTAATAACTGTACTACCTTGTGAAACAGAAGGCGGATTATTCTTCAGTTTGTTTCTCTGAACAAAACATCAAAGCATACTCTGCTCTGAGTTTGCTATTATTTTTTTCAGTTTCAATTTAGCAGTAAGAGCTGATTGAATATTGGGAGTCCAAGATGGACTCAGTTTATAAAACCCTTAACTACTCTTTCTGTAGAAATTCCAGTGTGCTTTAATTGTCTTCAGTTGTCCTCATTGAACAGCCTACATCACCTGTAATAGCTAGTCATTCTGTCATCTAAAACCTGAGTGTACTCATATAAATTAGTTTATCTCAACATTTGAACTTACTTTGTTATGATCAATATTACTTCTGAATCTTTAATTTCCTGGCATTTTGAAAAGTTGAGGTCAGATATGCTTATTTCTGTTTGAGTATCTATTTCAATCCAATCCTGGTAAGAACTCCCATGTGTAACAACATTAATATGTATGCTGCCAAAGGAGAAAGAAAACCCCAAATAATTAAAATAGCAATGACTTTTCAGCTCATGGTGAGGTCTATCCTGCAGAGACTGAAGAGTAGGATTCAGCTCTAGATAAAAACAACCACACTTAAGTGTCTGTAAATAGGTATCTACATGTGTACAAAGTGCTTAAGCAACCATTTCTGTCAGAGGAAATAAGGGTGGCATGCAGATGCCTTAACATGTCTGATGCCATTTTATGGCTCTTAGGGTATCAGTCTCAATTCCGTTTGCTCCTCTGTGAAGGCACTGGTCTTCTTTAAATTTTCTGTTGTATCTGCAAAGCCAAGCAATACCTTGGGTACATTGGAGCATCCTGAAAGACACCAGATTGCAGTGCGTAAGCAATGGCACCCTGCAAATGTGGAACATATATCACAACTGGGTACATAGCAAGGGCAGGATAGAGGGAGGAGGAGCTGGCAGAAAACCCTGAAGGCATTGATTATTTCAGTGAAAGAAGAGAGATGTGCGTGAAGGCTCATCCATAAAACCAAGCCAGCAAACCTGCTTTGATGTCGATGCAGTCTTGTCTCTGCTGGGA